CCCCCCCCCCCCCCCCCCCCCTCTCAATAGTGTTTGTCTCATCACCTATCTATGTCTCTTATTCCACTGTCCTCTTTTTTCAATCTCAATTTTTTCCTATCTCCTTACAATCTCCCATTTTTTTCAATCTCTTCTCAAAACCATCTGCCCTCATCTCTCAATTCTCATGTGGTCTCCTCTCCTCTCCTCTCATCCCAAACTCAAATTTGTCCATCTCATTTTAAACAAGTAACATCTCTTCACTCAGTCTCTATCTTATCTTGCGTCATAACATTTGAGTTTTATCCTAATCTCCTCTCAGTCTCATCCCCTCTGCTCTCAATAACATCTCATCTCCTGTCTCCACCAAATCTAATTCCAGTCTCTATCTCATGTCATCTCAACCTCCTCACAATGTTCATTCCATTACAATCTCCAGTTTTTCAATCTCATCTCCTCTTAATAACATTTTGATCTCATCTCAACCTCATCTCCTCTCATTCTCATTTCAGTCTCGTGTCCAATTTTTTCAGTATCCATCTCTTTCCCTCTCAATAACATTTCAATCTCATCTTTTTTTATCTTCAATTCTCCTTATTTTAATCTCACGATTTCAAATATTCAATCGCATCTTCTCTTAATAATATTTCTTCATTTCTCATGTCATTTCAATCTCATTTACTCTTAATAACATTTTAGTCTCATCTCTTTATTTCTCATGTTGTCTCATCTTATGACAACCACCTCTTAATTTCCATCTGATCACAATCTCTCTTCTTCTCAATAACATTTCAGTCTTGTCTCATATGGTCTCCTTTCAACTCACCCCAATCTCAAGTTTCTCCATCTAATTACAATCTCCTCTCAACAACATCTCATCTCAGTCGCCATCTCATCTTGTCTCATCACATTCCAATCTATAACTTCTCAATCTCATCTCAGTCTCATCCTCTCCTATCAACAATATCTCACCTCAGTTCATATTTAAATATTGGAGTGTTTATGAATTTCATATTATATGAACCCTGTGTTTTCCAGAAAAGCGGTACAGTCTGCGGAGCTCAGAGTCGGGTCTGCTGGTCAGCTGTTTTGACATCGGTAGTCTCTTCGTTGTGGTCTTCATCAGCTACTTTGGTGGGCGGGGTCAGAGGCCGCGTTGGCTGGCAGTAGGGGGCGTGTTCATTGCCGTGGGTGCCGCCCTCTTCTCCCTACCTCACTTTATCTCTCCGCCATATCAGCTGGAAGAGCTGAACAGCACAGTAGGAGGAGAGGGGCTCTGTGCCAGTGGGAATGGCAGCGGACAGGAGAGGCCGGCACTGTCCAGGTGCCAGCGGGACAGGGAGGAGAGTGAGCACGCCCTGTATGTGGCGCTGTTCATCTGCGCTCAGATCCTCGTGGGAATGGGATCGACTCCCATATACACCCTTGGACCAACTTACCTGGATGACAATGTGAAGAAGGAGAATGCATCCCTGTACCTGGGTGAGTCGAAGTGAGGCTCTGTCTAATGGAGTTGTTGGATGGCTGGTCAGTCTGTGTCAAATCAGTCAGGTAGTGTGTAGTTTGTTTGGGGCCACTTTTTTTTCTTACATGGGATCTACGCAACCACCACTTTGTTGCTTCAAAAAGTTCATAAACCGATTGTAAAACTAATCCATATGAATTTAGTGGTTAATTTTCTGAAGAGACTTGATCACTTTATGAGCAGATTTAATTTAGACTTTGTATTATGAGCACTTGTGTTATTGGTCTCTTTATGATGAATCGCTTGTTGTATTCCTCATTTGTAAGTCGCTATGGATAAAAGCATCTGCTAAATGAATAATTGTAAATTCCTAATTTTTGTTAAAGTGTACATTTTTTTTAGGTTTTCTAATATTTGTATTTTATTTTACTTCAGCTTTGCTCCAATTAATAAAAACGATTTTTAGTTTTAGCTTTATGTTAAAAATAATGACATTGAGTCTGTGCAGCCACAACCCTATATAATCAGATTTGGTTTGATATGGATTCGGGTGTTAGTCTTACTAGTTTAGGAGAAACTTCTGTATTCTGTACATGCATGGAACAATATTTTAGGAGATTTACTTCAGGTTTAATACCCAAAACATTTAGCCTAATGTGTGTGTAGTCAGTATTAATAGAATTAATTTACTCTATAAACATTTTTAGATAAAAAGTCAACATTTGGAACTGATATTCTTCTATTAATTAGCCAAGTGGGCATGGTAACAGTCCTTGCTCATAATCTCAAAATTACAAATATCAGCTGTTTATACCAGACCTGAATTCTGGCATGCAAAGTCTGTAACCACCTACAGTAGCATGCGACAGCTAAATAAAT